TATATATATATATATATATATATATATATATATATATATATATATATATATATATATATATAGTTTAGAATTGCAGTCGTTACAACTTTGCATCTGCAGGGCTTGCTCAGTAAGATTCAAGCTAACGGCTAAATTGTTTTTACGAGTGATTTATTTGATTTATTTGTTTAGTCTAACGACAGCATTTTTTAAAAGAATTCAGCGCGAAATCGCTTAGCTTAATCGACAACTGAGAGCGTGTTACCTCAGTGGTATCATTTGCAAGGCAACTGGTTACCTATAGTGGTAGTCTTGTTCTTTTGCAACTAAATTAACATTTTTGCGGAAAAAACTGTATAATAATAAAATTAAATAGTGAGCACAACATGGACGAAGATTATTGCCATCATAATTGCAAGAAAAGTGCAGAAAACTTTTTAAGAGAGAAGTTTTACGTTGAAACAACTCTGAGTGTGATTGTGTTGTTGGTGTTTTTATTTCAGTCTAGTTAGCCTTATTGCACTCTGGTAAATCAAATCTCGTTTAGGCACTTTGCTTTAAAAATCACAATTTTCCAGTTATCATCAGTTTAATTTTCATGTTCAGTCGTGTTGTGGGGATATTGTGAAGTAAAAGGCTGCAACTACCCAAAGGAAATATATAGTAAGGAACACTGGGTTCGGAATACTTCAAGCTAGACCTTAAAGGTTTGGCGCTGCACCTCAAATATTCTGTTGTTCTAATTCATTGTTTTTGTAAAAATCCGGCACATGGATATTTCATTATTTTGCGAGTTGGTTCAAACATTATCATCGAGTTTATGTGTTGTTTATTCGACCGTCACCTTGTCGAGCAAAAGATTACAACTGAAGTATTTTACTTCAAGTTTCTCCTCAGCTGTCCTTTAGATAAACTATCATTTATAAAAAAAGTCAGTCTTAACTTTTAGTTCTATGCCTTGTTAGACAACGTCTTGTCGATAATTTCTTTATGGGATTTGTGTAACAAATATAAAACTTACCATGGACTGTCTGACCGAAATTAAACTTTGCAAGTTGTTTAGTTAAATTATTTTCCCAGTTTAGCATTACTAGATATAACTAAATCACCTAAGATGAATAAATTACCGTCTAATTTTCCTGTGATATTATTACAAAAAAAGAAAAAAATTGTATCATCCAAATTTCTTTTTTACAGAAATCCATTTTGTTTTCACTCAAGTACATACTTAACTACTGATCGACTTTCCCACCTTTGAAATAAATGGATCTTATTGAATCTAGCTTATAAGGTGTAAATTTCCTATTTGAGTTTTTTCTTTTAGCAAAAAGTAGAACGAGTATTCGATTGACCTCAAATTTTCTCTGAAACGAGATGTTACCTACCTTTGAAGAAAGTAAGCTTTACAGACACCTAGTACTGTATGATCAGGACTGTAAGTAGTTAGTTAGAGAAAAACTTAATCTTGTGTAAGTCCAGAACTTAAAATAAATAACATGGAACTTTTTTCTATTGACAGATGCCGCTATTGCAAATAACAATTTCGACAGAAGTTGCGTTGTGTACCCATGTGTAGTGGCGACTGAAGTTTCTATTGATGTTTACAATGAACTATCAAACAAGCTTAGATTAAAGTGAAAATGCCTGTTAGATTCTAACTGAGGTTAAGCACGTAATTGAGTGGAATTTAACAAAAGAGCAAACATTAGATTGTAGCTTGTTTACTTCGTTGGTTTTTCATTAGTGCAGATCGTTAGTGGAAGACAAATTCGAGGAAATTTACAGAGCACGTACAACTACACACATCCGATTTGTTAATTAAATATTGAAACAATTTATCTCACCGGAGGGACAAAAAGGAAGCGAATTAACAACGAACTGAGAGAAAAAGAGTGACTTTAACAACAAATAATACTGGCAAAGTGGTTGGGTATTGTTCAAAGCACTTTGCCCGCGATCTATAAACTTTTAAGGGCACGCGAAACGAATGGCCTCTAAAATTGGCTTTTCCGCGCAAGCTAACACGCCCTGTCGCGAGACTGGAAGTAATGAAAAAGTCGGGAGAAGCAAAGAAAAAAAACATTCAATTTGGTGGACACTTAATTTATTGATGGCAGGAGTTAACTATTGTCAGTGCCGCTAGATGTTGCAGATTACCGTGCGATGAAAACCTCGACTTTTTTACTAGTGGAACAAGTACAAGTCGAAACAATAATGTTATAAAAACAATTTTATCTTTTTTTGCTACGTTTTCCGGTGTTTTTGCAGCGTTAATTCTCGTGAATCACTCGTTACAATGAATCTCCCAAAATATCGAATCCAGCCGATATAACGAACCTAACGCTAAAATGAATCTCCTAAAATAAGGCATTCTACCCATATAACGAGTCGTACCGTTAAAACGGGATAGAGTGACAATACTAAATTAAGCAGAGGTACCTATGGACGGATTCGCCTAACGTATCTACGTCCTTGTTGACAGCCAAGTTCATGTGATGATTCGTTTGGGAGATTACAATGATAAAACTAATACTGTTCAGCTTGTACATACTCCCATGCAATCGGTTGCGTGTGGCAAATTGCACAATTGTAACCTTCCAAATGACTCATCATGTTATCTGAATAGACCGTTTTCGATTCATAAAAACTGAGCTTGGCAGTGAGGCCTAGAGGACACAAACAAAGGAAATTGAAAGACCGTGTTTAATCATTTCTTTTGTTTTTGTGTCCTCTAGGCGTCACTAAAAAGCTGAATTTTAATATTTCGAAAGTGGCCTTTTGGGTGGCAACAAGGGTGTAAACACGTTAGCTAAATACGTCTATTCCCTCCGAGATTAGGCTTACATCCAAACAAAACTTAAGAAGGACAACAAGTTTATACAACATGTAAGATTTTATTGATAAAAATAGCGTTTCTTTTCTCGTCAGGCATAAACAAGTTTTGCCGCTGCGTATATTTCTGACGTGTTCAATAAACAACAGTTTTTCTATCAATAATATTTACAATGAAGGATCCAGGATTTTGCTTGAAAAAAGATTACAGTCTTCCCATGTTTTGCCAATAACGGAGAAATAGTGAATTTTCAACTCAAGTTGCAATATCGTCAAAATCTAAAACCCTTTAAGCCCCAAGAATGATAAGCATCAAAATTTAAGTATACTTGATCACCAAATTCTCCTAACTAACTCCATAGGAAATGTATGAAGACTAGTAATGAGAATTTGAATATTGATGTTGACCAGAGGCTAAAATCTTCATGTATCACAAATTTCTCTAAGTTACATCAAAAGAAAATGAAACGAAACGAGAAACGAAACGAGTTGAACATTTTGATCCCTGGAATTAAAGGGTTCGAGATATTAATTAAACAGGACGCGCTACAACGCGCGAAGAACCAGAACAACACATTTTAAAACGTATTGTCTCACTCTCAAAGACTGACCGAATTCGAAATCGAAAACAAGGTCTCAAAGAAGCTGGACCACATGAATGATCACACACTAGGGTTTCATCCACAGATTTACAAGTTAGAATCACCTTGCACAGCATAATAAACAGTACCACATAAAAGTACAGCTCAACAGCTTTCATTTGAATGGTCACATATTAAGGTTTCATCCAGACTTAGAAGTTAGAATCACCTTGTAAAGCATAATAAACAGTACCACATGAAAGTACTGCTCAGTAGCTTTCATTCCATTCTGAAAGTGGGAGCCAGTGTGCGCAGCTGAGTGAAAGCGTTGCATTTTGTTTCAGCAAAAGAGCAGTTGAGTCTAGAACCCCAGTATGCCAGGCAGAGGACAAACAACGGATGAACGAACGAAACTTAAAGGGGAAAACAAGTGAATTACCTCAAAGTTCAACGACATGAACAGGGACATAAAGGAAACAAGGATCGTTCGCGGAAATCACGAAGAATTCCCGATAACTTCCCGATTCTTTCTGTCCAATCAAAAAACTAGGACGAACACCGTCGTCATCACGATGCGTCACTGTTACTTAGCAACGTCTCTAGCGAATAACGCGGCTTATTTACACTTTTACTTCCGACCGAACAGGGTCCTTACTCGAGAATCAATACAATAGTTTAAAAAAAGACTTAAAACGGACGAAAAGAAAAACGAAGATGAAATTAGTGATCCTAAGACCACTAACACAGAATCCATCAGAGAAATTGTAAAAAGCATAAAAGTCCGTGATTCCTACGTAAAAAAATTTAAACATTGTTTTCCTAAAGCACAAAAATGTTCTCCCCAACGAGACCCCCTTGAGAAATCAATTCCCCACTATGATAAATAGTCAACCAAAGTTTCTGCACCTATGATAAATTTATACATACATATGTAGTATAAATAGACTAATCCTTGTATACTAGTATTTATCTATACACATTTTTCCCATTGTTCCCACTGTTTGCATAGTTGAATTTCGGAGGTAATGAGCCTTGACACTGCATAGGAGCATAACTGGTCCGCCACTGAGGGAAGTATGCGCCCGGTGATGTGCTGTAGCCGGGGGGAGCATGATGTGCATCCCCGGGATAGTACTGCGGCAGGGATGCAGCATATTGAGAGTGACCTGGCGAGGGAAAGTTCAGCGAGCCAGTTGGAAGAGAAAAACTGGGCAGGGCATAACCAGACACGCCAGCCGCCGAGTACTGGCTCCCAGGAGTCGGGTAAGCCGGATACGCAGACGAGTAGACCTGGTAACAAGGAGAATTGCCGGGCATTGGAGCGTTGGGTGCCCCGCCCTTCAACTGCTGCATGGATGCCACAGTGTCGTTAAGATTCACTAACGGAGGATGAGGGTCGCCTCGTGAGGTACTGCCTCCTCTGGGCTTCTTCTTCTCCACGGGGCTCTTTCCATTGCTGGGGCGTTTCTTGTGGGCAGTTCCACCACCGCCGCCGTTTTTCGGCGTACCGCCATTGAGCTGGGAAACGCTGTTCGCCGACACCTCCTGTGACGCCCCCAAAGACTGATGCCGAGAAGAGTCCGAGCTCGTTTCCACGACAACAGGGCTAGGTGTGCCGCTGACCGGGCTACCACTATGCCCAGAGCTGTCGTCACTTTCGGTGTGAGTCCCGCAAGAGCTTGTGCTATCGCTATCATACTGGACCAACAAACTCAGAGCTCCAATGGCTTGACCGGGAGTTTTCTTTTTCTCTTTTCGCTTACGTTTCTTTGCAGGAGGCTCCGAGGTTTGCTTTGCTGACTGGCTGGGCTTTTCAGAAGCTTCAGAACTGTGAAGGAGAAATTATTATTATTACATTAATATTAAATTATTATTAAATAAAAATTAATATGCAGCAACAAGCGTCATTTCGGAACCCGACTTTTTTTCCAAGCAAAATTTCCTTTCAAATATATGGTCTGAGATTGTTGAAACGAAACATTCCTTCCAGCAATTAGTCTAAAAATAAGTCCACAAAAAGCCAAAGACCTCGTTTACTGCAAGAAGGTTTTACTACAGTTAACGACACATTGGCTTCACTGGGCTTCCTCGCCTAAGATGCATAGATAAGTAGTAAATATATTTGTAAATGGCAAAAATAAAACAAGAAACAAGAAATAAACTGCTCTGTCAAGTTTTACCTGTTTTTCTTTAACTTCGCAGACTCTCCTTCTTTTGTGGGCGAAAAGACACTTCCAAATGAAGGCAGCGACACTCCGGTAAGAGAGTGCAGCCTCGGGGAGGGTGCTACAGGTATCGGGCTACGAGCAGAACAGGGGTTGCTGTCCACTAGCACAGGAGCCTGGCCTTCTAACACCGCTGACCCCGCCTTGGAAACTGACGACGAGATGGATGGAGACTGGGGAAGAGTTTCATTGGCCATAAGACTGCTGACCTCCGAGTCGGGACTCGCGGACTTGGGAGCCTGGGGCACAGGAGAACAACGCTTCCGGCCTGACGAATTAGTTGGGCTTGTTCTTTTTTTAGGGCTGGGTCTTTTTCCGCTGGGAAGCGGTATCATATCGAGAGGAATCTCGGGAAAGAAGGTGGCGCTAGGGTTTTCTGTTGGGGAAGAAGTACTCGAAGATGTCTTGTCCACGGAAGTATTGGAGGAGCTCACCTCGCTGGACGCAGTTTTAGCGACGACAGTCGCACGATTTGCCACAGCAGTTTCTTTACTACTGCGATCCTTGTCTGCGAAATGATGACCCAGAGAAGGGTCAGTCTTTGGTTCGTCCACTGAAACCTCTTTACGAGGACTATCTGTTTTTGTATCTTGGAGAGGAACACGTTTCGACACCACGTCCGAGACCACATTTGATTTACCATGACCCGGTGGATCCACTTCAGTGGGTGTTCTTACAGCGGGTGCAGAATGTGAATCAGGGCCCGTAAGAACTGGAGCAGGAACACGACCACTTCTGTCAGCCCCTGTGGAGCTCTGGGCCATGTTTGAAGGGGCTATGCCGCTAGATTCAACACGACAACCTTGCTCTGGAGGTGACAACTTTGGCGATGATGGAGATATTCTTCGCTGGTGTTGGTTCACCTCGTCTGAGAAAACTGATGTTGGCAATGGGTAAGTGCCAGGGCTTGTCACAAAAGGCATGCGGGTTTTACTTGATATGTTTGGCGAGTTCATGTCACGCGACGAGTTCATGTCACGCGTTATATGCGCAATGCTGAAGTTTGTTGAAGGTGACTTATTTCTGGCTTTAGGGCTGCCATTGCTGGTTGTTGCAGGGCTCGGGTGCCTTTTTTCCACTTCTCTCCCTTTCGGACTTTTGCTATTCCCTGTTTGGGTTTCCGGGGTTGAACTTACGAGGTTGTCAATAGTAAAAGGTGAAGACCTCTTCTTGCCTGTTGGTGAGGTTGCGCTGCGCGTTGGAGTCCGTTGAGCAGAACTCGGCTGCTCCATGGAAGATGTGACAGCTCCAGGCAACGGACTTGCAGAAACATTTCCTACGGGAGGGGTTTTAGGAGACTTGGATGCGCTCCTACTGGGTAGAGATGGTGGGGTATCCACGTGTCGTCTTTGTTCTACTCTAGAGGAATCCTGGATAGAAGAGGCTGTAGCTAAAGACGTCGGCGTTCCTAGAGACCGCGCAGCAAGGGATGTTGCTACAAGAGGCGGCGGCTGTTCAGGCAACGTATCATTCAGCAGATCGCACAACAGTTTGATACCAGCACTGTGGTCCGTTGATAAGTCCGTGTTTGGAAATGGAGCTCTGCCCACGTATGATAACTGGTTGGTGGAAACGCACGAGCTCTGCGAGGCACTGGAGAACGAGGGCGTTGAAGTTGTTGTGGCCATCTGTGTCGCGAAAGTGTTCAAGTATTTCTCTGTAGAGGCAGACAGGGAACTCAGGGGTGTGACGCGAGAGGTGGGTGTCCGAGAAGCGGCAGCAGACATGATCGACAGAGGACTCAGCGGAGAGATGTAAGAGAGTCCATTCTGAGCGAAGGACACCATCGGGGGCACTTCGCTGCCAGATGTCATAGGAGTCACCTGCCTAACAGGTGTCGGTGTCACGGGTGATGTCAGCAAGGACACGGGAGACAGCAGCTCGCTTCTAGGGCGGGGTGAGGCATTCACTGGTGTCACTGGAGAGGTGATAAGAGGCTGAAGGGGACGAGAGACACTTGGTGACTGCCTCACAGAACCTGCTGGAATAGAAGGAGAGACCACTGTACTAACCGTCCGTGGGCTCAACAACGCTGGTGAAGACGGAAGTGAGACGCTGGCGTCCTGTTTTGATTGGTTAGTCGCACGCGACTTCTTTTTAGCGCCGTTTCCTTTTTGACTCATTTGCTTCGTGTTAGGAGCAGAAGTGATCGCTCTGCCATCTTTATCGATGTACGTGACCATCTGCATCGGTAAACCTACAGATTGCACCAAATAAGGACGACAAGCGTTGATAACTTGAGCTTGCGTACTGCAGTGATGTGGTTGCGCCTGGGATTTGGAGGGATTCATCGATGAAAATGGAACTGACATAACTCCTGATGATTTCGAAATGGGACTCGGAGACGAATCACTCCCAGGTGAAATTGAGCCTAAAGACTTCTGAGAATGGCTGCCAAACAAACCGGGTGAACCTAAACTTGCAGAGGATGGAGTCGTGACTGCCTTCATGGTTTGTGCAGAAGGCACCATAGAGATCCCTGTACTTGTTGATGCGGATACACTTGTTGAAGACGGTGAGGGGGAGAAGCTAGTCTTTTCAGGCACTGCCTTTCTGGAGTCCAGTTGGTCAACCTCGCTCTGTAGCTTGTTAACTTTCTCAACCAATGCCTTTCGTTTCGCTAACTCTTCGTAAAGGTGGCTCATTAGGCTCTCTTGGACTTTAGCTGGAGAGTTCCCCTAAAAAGGTAGGCAAGTAATGTTTCAGTAAAGCTCGACAAACCATTTTCCTATTTAGTCTGCATACATTACTCATACAGGTAGTTCTTAGTTGGGAAAATTAGTCGTACACACCAATAAGTTCAAACCACTTTGTTTGGCACAGTAAACAGTACCACATGAAAGTACTTCTCAATAGTTCAGTTTCATTTGAATGGTCACACGCTAGGGTTTTGTCCACAAACTTTAAAGTTAGAACCACCTTGTACAGCACAATAAACATTACCACATGAAAGTACTGCTCGATAGCTTTCATTTGAATGATCACACACTAGGGTTTCATCCACAGACTTAAAAGTTAGAACCACCTTATACAGCATAATGACAAACAATACCACATGAAAGTGCTGCTAAAAAGCTTTTGATTGAATGGTTACACGCTTAAATGTCAACAGACTTCAAGGTTAGATGAAGACTTTTTTAACATACCAATTTTTGTAGAACACCAACTTCTCCATTGGCGGGCTTTCCGTCCTTCGCAAAATTTCTTTCACCCTGACGAAGACATCAATGTACATTTTAATAAACACTGTTTTGAAATCTAGTTAGAGAACGTTTACGTCCAATTTGAGAATTATTTGGATGGCAAAACATAACGCTCAAATGATCACTCTCGATTTACTACCAACTCCCGTGCGATCTCCTCAAATTTGAATCTGCTTAAATTTCTATAAAAGTCGATGGGTTTCGTTCCCCAGGTCCCGTCTACACTACGCTGGAGGAATTTGAAAACGCAGCTTTATTTCTACGGTTAGGCCTACCGTCCACACTAATCCGTCACGAAAACGGAGCTTTTCGAAAACGCTCTTCAAACCAGAGGAATTTGAAACCGCCGGCTTTACGTGTTAGTGTGGACAAAAAACATTTTGATAACGGAGCTTTTCGGAAATCATGACATCACGATAATCACGTGATTTCCATGACCGAGTTTTCCTCAAACACAAATCCAAAATGACCGGCGATTGTTGCGTTTTAAAATTCCTCCGGCGTCGTGTGGACGGAAAGCATTCGATGCGCTTTCAGAGTGAAACCTCCGTTTTCAAATTCCTTCGGTGTAGTGTGGGAAAGGCCTTAGCCTGGCAGTGACCCGCTCTGGCTTGATATGAGTGTTCATTGCACGGAACAAACTAAACTGAACAACTTTACTTTCCATACTTACAAGAGAGTGGTGGATCTTGTGTTTCTCCAGATGTTTAACTTCCTTCTCCAGCCGTTTGACTTTGTCTTTCATCTTCTTGTGCTCTCCTAACAGCTCTCCAGCCTTCATGAGTAGCTCTCGAGGAGTCTTCGCTGTTAA